TTCCATTTAAAAAAATTAATGTGACCTTGACCTGACCTTCGCTACGCAACCCAAGGTCAAACTGATGTGATCAGTAAATACATCTTTTTAAACGCCACAACTTTTGTCTGAAACATTTTTTTGTAAAACTTATATTTTTCCTGATATTCGGGCGTCCCGGTACTTTCCGAACACCCTGTATATATATATATATATTTAATTTCGTTAATTCTTTTTATAAAAATGTAATTGCGAGGTTGCTTTGTTAAATCTATCTATGTTTCTTTTTCGTTTACATTTTGTATCGGAAGCAGGTTTATCTCTTCAGCTCTTTTAGATACAGATACAGAAAAAATATATTTATATTAATTTTTAGGTCCTAGACAATTTTGATTTTATTGCGCGTTGTGTGACTTTAGAGGATTTTCCGTAAAAGCATTCGAATTAGCAACATTGTCCTGTTGGTGAGGAACAAAGAGCGATAAAGAAATTGATATGAAGTAAAATAATTATTTAATGAAGGTATTATATTTATTATAATAAAGATATTACATATTTCTATTTAACTATAAAAACATGATGTAACATAGACAAACTTTTTGTTACTCGTTATATTACAGAACGTTACACTTGTTTTATTTGATTTTTACTTAATCAAATTTTTATTTGATTTTATATAAGAAATATCACGCGTGGCCTCTTCAATTATATTTTCACATACAGTTACTCGCATTAATATTCGGACATCATGGTACTTTAGAAATTATTACTCTTTAAACATAATTTTTATTAGAATAAGGTGTTTATATCTTTTTTTAAATTAAAACATTCATTATAATTGTCAGAAACATAAATTTTATTTATAACATTGATTTAATTTTGAATATATAACGAAAAGTTTACGCAACAAAATACTAAAGTTATTATTATTTGTTTAATATACCGATTTATATTATATATATATTGTTATTATATATATATTATATATTGTTAGCGTCCGAATACTTTTGCTGTAATAGAATTAAGAAAAATTTTATTTTTTTTTAAATATTCAAAACTGAAATTATATAAATAAAATTCATGTTTCTGACAACTATAATGAGTGTTTTAATTTTTTGAAAAACTATGAATTCATCCAAAAAAAAGTATTCTACGTACAAATGAATTTTCCTCTAACCTCATGTTCTAAAAGAAATATCTTACAGAAAGCATATTCATTTTTCATTAAAGAGATTTCATCGTGCATTTATGAGATATTATTCTAATTGTGTTTCTCTATATCAAGAAAAATTTGAATGCCGGTACAATGCCGTCTTACGTGCAGTACGAGAGACGCGAAGAACTGTTGTTTTGCTGCGTACTGTCGTGTACGATTGGTTGAAACCAAGCGCCACGCTTAGAGCTTCTTTCAATTCACTGTCAGCGTTTCAATCAAATCGACATTGAAATCGTCAAACCGACGTTGAAATCGTCAAACCGACATCAGTTTGATATTATTTTGATGTTAATCAACGAGTTATTTTTCATTGGATATATAAGGTAAACGTTCCAGTGATTGAACGTGTACCGATAATTGAATTACTAATAATATATTTGTGTCTGTTAAGATGCCTATCAATAAATGAAACAAAATCACAAAGTAACTAAATATTTCTTTACATTTATTATATTTGTTTTGTATATTGAAAAGCATTTCAACAAAGTACAAAACCAATATGTCAATCATTGGGATATGTATGTTCGAGCACTGGGACATTTACCTTAGATGTCACAAACATATATATATATGTATATATATATGTATATATATATATATATATATATATATATATATATATATATATATATGTGTATGTATATATATATATATATATATATATATGTGTATGTATATATATATATATATATATATATATATATATCTGATACTCTTATCAAACTTTTATTATTAATAATTATTTAATCGACAATGAGCGACAGCTGAGACCTTTTGAGTGTTATTCAGGATAATAATTCCTACCACATATGTCAGAATCATGACCGTATCAATGCAATACTTATTCAAGTATAATTTATTTTACAACTTATCCTAACAAGTGGTTTTAATGTATATTAACGCAAATATCCCTTATGAAAAAGTACTATTAATGGCACTGTTAGAACTATGGCTCTAATGATCTTTTCGCTACAGCGACACTATTAGTGTCACTATTAGTGACATTGTTAGTGGTAATAGTTCTAATAGTTACTCTTAAAACGTTAAAAATAATGGGTTAAGTTCACTTTTTTTCATTAAAAAAACGTTTCTTCAAATGTTTTGGAGAAAACGTTTTCAAAATATTTAATAAAAGTTTTTTTAAATATTTATTAAACGTTTACGTATTAAAAGTAAACATTTATAAATATTATAAAAATATTTATATAAATATAAATATTTTTCTCTTTTCTTGAATTTTTCTTAAATTTTCCGCTTAATTGTTTCACACTCTACTTAATTCAATTAAAATTGTATTTCGGAAATTTGCTTACGAATGTTGGAACTCGAGAGCCTGAGATTTCTGCTTCTTGTCGTTCACCTTACCAACTACGCCACTGTCACTTTCACCGAAAGACACTTTATATTGTTTACTTATGGTATATCCATATACGAAAACAAATGATTTAATAAAAAGAGAAGAATAGATCTTTTTAAATGTAAAAAATATGTTTCAAAAATAAATATTAAATCAATACTAAAGTAATGTTTATTTAAATATTATTTTAAATGTTTGATTAATGTAATACAAATA